TATATATTTGTATATATTTATATCTATATATGTATATATATATATATATATATGTTACATATTTACGTATGGATGTATGTATGCATGTATGCATGTATGTATGTATGTATGAATGTATGTATATACATACATATATATATATGTGTGTGTGTGTGGTGTGTGTATATATATGTATATATGTATTATTAGGCGGGTATGTATCTACTAAGGCGTGAATGTGTATTCTCCGTGACGATCCACTCTGGTGCTGCCAGCGGCAATCTTCCTTGACCTACGTAACGTATAAAAGTGTTGATTTTGCAATAAATGCTTTGATGCTTCCAGTGACAATGAGCGTTCGCTCTACTTAGTAACAGGTCTAATTATTTCCATGTTCGCACTGTTTAATAGCAAGTCAGCGACACTACAAGCACACAGTCGAACCTGTTGACCGCAGTCTGTTTCTAAGAGTGGTTAAAAATTACCTTATCTTCTACAATTTCTACACCCAAAATCCTTGTGTAGATGTCGATATCTTCTGCAATGTCTACATCCTAGTTATGAATTCATCCCCGAATTACCTAACTGATTCCTCAACTAATTTCCTAAGTAATCTCCCAACTAATTTTGCAACTAATTTTCGTTTTCCTCTACGTACCAGGTGCGTAATCGCAAGCGCGAGGCTCTAAAGAACAGTCGCAGTGGCGTATCAAAGCAACGCATGCGGCTCATGGTGGAGCAGTTTGGGGATGGTGATGATCAGACCAAGAGTATGTCATACACAAGTGTGTACGAGCTGGTTTTTATAGCTAGATAGACTGTTTTCAGTATATATATATATATATATATTTATATATATATATATATATATATATATAGGAATGTACTGCGTTTTCTAGTTATTTTTTAGGCCAGCCAGATGGGAATTGCAATATACCACACACAATCACATTCACACGTATCTCTATATCAATATACTTACCTATTACGACACCGGTATATCTCATCCGTCCCATACACACATATCTCCATATATATAT